CCTCCAGTAGAGGGTCCACCGCCTGTCCAGTCGCAGTCCCTACTGGAGCCTTCCTCTCCACTGCCTGCTCCCTCTCCTTACACTGGTCCTACTGGAGGTCTTGCTGAGCGTCGTGAGCCTGCGTCTCGCCCCGCGTCGCCTGTTCGTGCTGCTCGCGCTAGTGGTCGCAGTTCGCGTCAGCGTCCTCCTCCTGTCCCTGGCACGCACCGGATGTCTCTGCGTCCGTCCACTGCTCCTCTGCGTGCCCCTTTGCCTTCTCCTCCTGAGTCCTCTCTTCCTGCGCTTGCCGACCCTGAGTCGGACTCTCTTCGCGCTGCGAGTCCTACTATCACGCGTCTGCTTGCTACTGTCGTCACTGACCCCTCTTTTGAGTCCACTGCTGCGTCTGCTCTAGTCGCTGAGCTCGTCGACTTTGCTGCTCGCTGTCGTCTCGACTACGCTGCTAGTCTTGTTGCTGAGTCTGCGTCTGTCTGTCCTCCGTCCGTCGGGGGTGAGTGTGCTCTTGGCACGGACGTCCTAGAGGACAGGCAGGAGGAGTTACAGTGTCTAGCGGCTGCTTCACCTCATCTCGCGTCTGTACTGCTTGCCCCTGAGGGAGACCCGGATGCACTAGACATCCCGACTCCGCGTTCTTACGCGGAGGCCGTAGAGGGTCCCTACTCCTCTCAGTGGCAGGCAGCTATGGATGCAGAGATGGCTTCCTGGAAGTCCACAGGCACCTACGTTGACGCGGTTCCCCCTCCTGGGGCGAACATCGTCAGTGGCATGTGGATCTTCAGGGTGAAGCGGCCGCCGGGCTCTCCACCTGTCTTCAAGGCACGGTACGTTGCTCGTGGCTTCAGTCAGCGGCAGGGAGTTGACTACTTTCAGACCTTCTCTCCCACCCCGAAGATGACTACTCTTCGGGTGCTGCTGCACATAGCCGCTCAGCGCGACTACGAGCTTCACTCTCTCGACTTCAGCACTGCGTTCTTGCAGGGTAGCCTGCACGAGGAGATCTGGCTTCGCCGTCCACCTGGCTTCACTGGGACTTTCCCTCCTGGCACCCAGTGGAGCCTCAGACGACCAGTCTACGGTCTCCGCCAGGCACCGCGTGAGTGGCACGACACACTGAGGACTACGCTTGCGGCTCTTGGGTTTACTCCTTCTACTGCTGACCCGTCGCTGTTTCTTCGCACCGACACTTCCCTGCCGCCGTTCTACATCCTCGTGTACGTCGACGACTTGGTCTTTGCCACAGCGGACACTGCTGGACTCGCCTACGTGAAGTCCGAGCTGCTGAAGAGACACACGTGCACAGACCTGGGTGAACTGCGCAGCTACCTTGGCTTGCAGATCACTCGGGACAGAGCACGCCGCACCATTACCTTGACTCAGTCACACATGGTGCAGCAGGTCCTTCAGCGCTTCGGCTTCACGTACTCCTCGCCTCAGGCCACTCCTCTGCCTACTCGCCACTCACTCTCAGCTCTGCCTTTGGATGAGTCCGTAGAGTCGAGTGGTCCGTATGCAGAGCTTGTTGGCTGCCTCATGTACCTGATGACCTGCACACGACCTGACCTTGCATACCCTCTGAGCATTCTTGCACGCTATGTTGCTCCTGGGAGACACAGACCGGAGCACATGGCTGCAGCGAAGAGGGTATTGCGCTACCTGTGCAGTACGTCAGGCATGGGGCTAGTGCTTGGAGGGCGGAGTCCAGTGGTCCTTACCGGCCACGCGGACGCTTCTTAGGCTGACGACCAGGCTACGCAGCGGTCGTCACAGGGTTACACCTTCAGCCTTGGTTCCGGCTCTGTCTCGTGGCGGTCTACTCGCTCGTCTTCGGTTCTCGGCTCCAGTTGTGAGGCTGAGATCTACGCCGGAGCCATGGCTGCACAGGAGCTTCGTTGGCTCACCTACCTGCTGACTGACCTTGGAGAGCCGCCTCGTTCTCCTCCAGTGCTGTACGTAGACAACAAGGCTATGCTGGCCTTGTGTCGAGAGCAGCGCTTGGAGCACAGAACGAAGCACATTTCTCTCCGCTACTTCCTTGCTCGTGAGTTGCAGCAGCGTGGTCAGTTGTGACTTGCGTACGTGGCCTCTGAGGCCAACACTGCTGATGTGTTCACCAAGGCACTTGCGCCTTGTGACCATCAGCGCTTCTGCACCCAGCTGGGTCTTGTGCCTGTCTTGCCTCACTTGCTCTCCTCTTGACTTTACTTGTACTGTGACATATATATATACCTGCTCTTGCTTGTCTAGTTTTATATATGTGTCTGTACTCTTGCTTGTGAACTGGCCTTTGGCCTTGCTCTTGTGCTCGGACTGTGTGGTGACTTTGTGATCCACCCTGAGCTTTGCTTTGTCTTGCTTGACTGGTCTTGTGACCCCTTGTTCTCCCCCACTTTGCCTATGGGGGTGTGTCAGAACATATCTATAGCTTATACTGCTGTGTAAGCTGTAGTGGGGTATCCCATAGGGGGTACAACCCAGTTAGGGTTTCATATTTGTACTGCTTTCATTCATAGTTCATCCATTCCTGCTTACTCATTTTCACACCCCCCCCCCCCCGCCGAAATTCGTCAGTGTCAAATTCGTTTCGAGTCTTTCACATCAGTCCGGTTACACAGACCACTCTGAAATATCAGCCCATTGTGAAACATAGCTTTTTCAAAAAAGGGTCCACCAGCAAACAACTCTGAAAAAAAAAAAAGGCAAAGGAAGATAACCCCAGCCTTATAGTAAGGGTTGTAAGGGTGATTTACCCTGCTAACCAAAGCCCTGACGGTCACTGCAGAGGGTGTTTTCATGTGTTTGATGAAACGTTTCACAGAATTAGTCACAATCAACTGGGAAAAATAACTCAAATGGTCACAGATAAAACTCCCGCCCGAAAAAAAGATAATACCCAAAACGAACTTGGATGCATTTTCGGATGAATCCACCATAAACACAACTTCACATGTGTTCAGGGCTGATCCGTTCCCAAACCGCATCCGATTCCGATTGGGTTTTAGTTTTTTTTTTTTTTTTTGAAGTTAGCTGATTGGTTGGGCGCGAGCGGGAATTTCGTAGAGTTTCAAGGATTATTGGCGGGAGTTACATGTGTGACCATTCGTGTGATTTTTAACTTGATGTTAGTGACTGAATCCGTGACCCCACTTACCAAACCCGTCAGCAAACCCGATACAGTGACCGTTCGCGTCGCCTTTTTACCATTCGCGTTATCGAGTCCCATGTTGGTTACTTGTAAGGAATTTTGCTAATTCCTTACTAAGGCACTTCTTAAGCGCACAATCCCAACTTTCGGAGTTCAGGCTCGGTCCGTCGACATCGCCATCCGAACGTTCTCCGCGTCGCCTTCAGGTTTCCCAACCCCAAACCCGCACTCAACCTTCGCGCGACTCCGCGACCTCGGCCTAGCTAGCTTTGCTATATTATGCCTAGGCCTCGTTGTTTGCTCAGTAGTTGTAATCACTTCTGCGTTATTGAATACTGGCAATCTTTTTAGTACAACTCATAACATATTTTCCTTTAGTTGTCTCAGCATTCTCGCTGCCCCAAACCCAAGAACTTCGGCAAGTCTGCCGTTCCCCTCTCGTAGGCGTAGGAAGATTGCCCGAAGATTTTCCGCTCTCCTTATTCGGCCTCCATTTCCAAGTCAGGATGAGCTAGTGGATTTCCCAACTGAAAATCTCATATTGACGAATCAAATGCTAGGGCATGCTCGTGCACGCGTGAGAGGCGTCCAGCGCAACGCGATTCTCTAGGTGCTAAAAAATGGCGGTGGAGAAAGGACCACCACCACCTATCCAGGACGACGAAACCTCGTGTTGATAGCATTCCTTCTTTGAATTTTTGTCTCCTGCCCTCCGCTAGATTCGGCAAGCACCCTTAGGTTACGTCCGTTGCTTCCACGTGTATGGTTTACAGTACAGTACCCTTGCTTGATCACTGTGCCTTAGCTCGCTTATCCTCCTGAAGTTGGTTACTTCAGGAAGGCACATACACCCTCTTTCGCGCTACACTTCAACGGGATTCACTGGGTACAGTGAAACTGTACCTTGGACATATTCAGAACTGTTACAAAAACCGTCTCTAGGGGGTGAGTGATTCGCAATTTCGTTATCCTGGGTACCCTACCGAGCCATATCAAACGTTCAAACGACCGTCTTCGAAAGTAACTAACCACGTCAAACCGTACTGGTGCAAAAGTCAACTATAATGTGTCCTCTGGCGCGTTGAGCTACAAGGCCCATATAGCCAATGACAGTGTAGCGCGAAACAGGGTGTAGTATATTTCTTCGATCCATGCACTTTGCCACCACGGAATTCTCAAGGCAAAACTTATGATGTCCATGACAGCACATACAGCACAAGGATCAACAATACAGTGTTTGGGGCAGCTACTAGATTTCTTCCCTTGGCCCTACAGTTGTTTCAGACAGACAATCTCACAACAAAGGATGCCATCCTTTGTTGGGGTGTGCTGCTGGGAAATCAAAACAAGCCTTCTCATGAGACCGCCATGGATTTCCCCGCGCAGCTTCGGAGGCCTGTTATGTGAAGGTTACTTACCTGTTGGTAACATTGAGCACAGATCTGTTTTCCTGAGTTCGTTAAGAAGCGGAGGATATCCTTTTTATGTCTACTATGCGGGCATTGTATCTTCGGCATCTCGGGTTCGGCTCACTGTTGCAAGCATATTTCAAGCTAACCTAACTCCAAGGTTCTCTGACAATGTCGCGTCCAGGCCTTTTTTCAAAACAATACATCAGCAGTGTATCTACTCTTCAAAACGCAAGGTCATTATCAAGTCTTTCCAACCTCGACATGATCCCAAGGTTTCAACCTCGGGAACGCACCTTTTCGATCAAGAGAGCAAATCCCTGGCGCAGAGAGAAGGTTATAAGGAGGTGGTGCTCAGTACTCGAGCAGCAGAAGCTTCACAAGCTTATCGGTCAACCAGGATCTGCTCAACGATCCTTCAGCCGTTCTCTTCAAGTCATCATCGCACCATGCCTCCGAAGGGTCGCTCGACTAAGGCGGCCGTGGATGTTACTCTCCCTGACGACATCATGCCGGATCAGAACTTCACGCCAACACCTGTGGACGAAGAGGCTGTTGGGAAGGATTCGGCACACACGGTGAACTCGTCCAAGGATAAGGCTGTCGCGGTTGAGCCGGCATCAGTGTCTGCTGCTGGTGCTGCGGGAAGCTCGGGACTGACAGTGGAGGAAAAGAGTCAGTTGCATCAGTCCGTGGTTGCCGACGAGGAAGAGTTTCTGGAAGACGACTCGGATGAAGAATTAGACATTGATATCGCAAAGGAAGATGCTTTCCGCCTCCGCTTTACCGTTATCTTACTCATTCCGATGGTGCTGTCACAGGAGATCAAAGCTATCATCTCAGCCGTCCGTCTTCTAATGTCTAAGGTGTGGTGCTCCTCCCTTACCGCGAATGCTGGAATCACGGCCAACATTCAGGAGATGACTCCTGGTTACGTGGCGAAGACGCGCTTCTGCCGGCTGCAAATTTCCTTCCTGGACGAGAGGGATGCTCACCATATCAAGTCACATGTCTTCGAGTACCAGAAGGCGCACGGTCCGGCAATCAAGTGCATCTGGCAGCACACGGAAGATGCCTCATACCTTAAGGAGAAAGCTGCTCACCCTCTTGCTATTGAAGTGCTTTTTCGTCGCGTTCCTGCTAACATTGTTCCTGAGGTGCTGAAGGATCTGCTCGTCCGCTTCAAGCTAAAGATGCGGAAGCAGTCTGCCTTCAAAGAGGGTTTTGCTTTCCACCGCGTGGCTCATCCTCTTACCGGTGCGGATACTGATGTGATCAAGGGCCTGGTCGTTCAGCATCCTGGTGACCGTTACCGCTGGCGACACATCGTCGACAATCCGATGGAGACTGGCGCGAAGCTGCTAGTCCACTTCCCTTCACTGTCCTGCCTGCTCTGCGGGGGCCAGCATTATGACATTCATCATGATCTGTACATCACAGAGCGGCAGAACAACATAGGGAAGTGGAACTTGTGCCTGGGAAAGATTCACCGTATTAACGGTAACCGCATCGATCATTTTCATAATGTCGCCTCACCCTTACCTCTTTCACCAGGCACTGACGTCCCCGTTTGCTCTCGCAGCCTCATCCCTCAGCACCTCCGCTCTGATCACCCCCATCTTGAAAGATCCTGCGATTGCACTTATCTCAACCGGCAGCAACCGCGAGGAGTGGATCTGTACGCAATTGTGCTGTGGAAAGGCGAAAGGAAAATCCTTCATGGCTGCTGCAGACCACATCGTCTCAGCGACTCACCTGCTGAACTTGGAGAAGCTGGGCACAGCAACAAAGGTCTCACTGGACAAGGCGGTCCTTGCCAGCCTGAAGAAAGACTATGGGTTCTGAGGCTGCAATGCGAGAATCGTGTGCTGTGGTCGATAGTAGGTTGGAGTGCAGTTGTTAGCGTTGTGTCCGTCATCAGCCTGTGGATGAACAGGGGCTGCCAATCAGTGAATAAATGACGAACAAGAATTTTTTCTCCTTAGCAGGCCTGAACGTTAACGGCCTTGGCGACAGATAAAGCAATCCAGAGTCACAGCATGGACACGCACAGCAGCCGACATCCTCATTCTCTCAGACACTAGACTTCCAGACGATCACCCCTACTGGAAAACTCCACCCTTCGCATCAGTCCTCACCACCCCCCCCATTGACAAAGCCGGTGGGGTTGCGGTGCTCACCAGAGATCCCTCCATCCTAGTTCGTTGCATCGCCGCACACCCCTCTGGCAGACTGATAGTAGCAGAAGTTAGCCGACCGGGTCTCACCCTTGTGCTTTTAGCAGCCTACTTCCCTGCGGATGCCACCACCAGATGCTCCTTTCTAACCAATGTCATCGGTCCAGCCATAGATCAGATCCAGTCCAACGCGCATGTCGTCTTGATAGGAGATTTGAACACGGTAGAGGACCCCACTTTAGACAGAACCTCACAGACGGGGACACCCTTAGAAAACGACAGGCTCATCGCTCGCTGCAGTCGCTTTCAGTTCTCAGATTCGTTTCGCACCCTGCACCCAAAGAAGCGGGAGTTTACCTTCTATTCCGCCTCCAGTGACTCAAGCTCCAGGATCGATCGAGCCCTCATCTCTTGCTCTCTCCTCCCCCATCTTGAAGTCGCTGCTCACATGATGCCTGAAGAACATATCTCTGATCATGGGTTCGCCATAAAAATCGCTTTCAAGACCAGAGCCACCACTCACCTGGGTCCCGGGATCTGGAGGCTGCACGCAGCAGCAATCGGAAGGCCAGGAGTGCGGAAGGCGGTGGAAGCCGCTCTTACCAAGGCGGCGGAGAACGGAGTAGAGGACTTTCAGCTGCTGTTGGGTAAGCTGAACGCGGGTCTGCGCTCATACATGAAAGAGGAGGGGAAGAGGATTAAGAGAACTATTGCTCATCTGGTAGATGTAGTTGCGGAGCTGAGGCAGGAGCAGATGCGGAGTCCAGGCTGTCAGCGGACGAGAGATCTTCTGCTGGTCAGAGAAACGCAATTGCACGAATATCATGCGGCCAAGCGGGACAGGTTGCACCTGATGGCAGGCACGAACACGGAGCTTGCAGGGGAGGTTCCGTCTCCCTTCCTGTCGGCACGGGTGAAGGTCAGAAAGCAGCGCACGCAAATCGCGGAGTTAACGGTGGGTGGGACGACAGTTTCAGACGCTCAGGGAATTCTGAAAGCAGCCACTCAGTACTACACCGACTTGTTTGGAGCAGACGGCAGGACTTCGTCGGAGCGGTGGAAGCCACTTCCGGGGAAAAGGCTGAATGCGGAGGCGGCGGAGATGTTGGAAGCAGATTGGACGGAGCAGGAAGTGAAACAGGCCTTCAAGGCGCTGGCTAACAATAAGTCGCCGGGGAAGGACGGCCTTCCGAAAGAACTTTTCGAACGGAACTGGGACATCTTGGGTGGGGAATTCCTTAGAATGGCGCAGAACTTCTCTGACACGGCTTCAATTCCTGCCAGCATTAAGGAAGCAGTCACCATTTTGCTTCATAAAAAGGGAGACAAGGACAAGCTGGACAATTACAGACCAATCACTCTACTTAACTTCACTTACAAAGTTCTGGCGCGTGTGGTGGCGAACAGGATGAGGCCCTTGCTTCACCGAGTAATCTCCGAGGAACAGTATGGGTTCATACCCGGGAGGAGAATCTCGGACGCGATCGGTGTGGTAGCCGACGTGATTGAGGCGGCAAAGAAGGGTGACGAGGACTGGTACTTGCTGTTGGTTGACTTCCGCAAAGCGTTTGACTCCGTCTCAAGAAGCTTCATCTTCACGGTCCTCAGGGAGATGGGTTTCCCGGAGAGGTTCGTCGGCTGGGTGGAGGGCCTGCACAGGGAGACAAAGACAAGACTTTTAGTTAACGGCTGGCTGGGCGAAGCGGTAGATGTGAAGTCAGGAGTCAGGCAAGGGTGTCCACTCGCCCCTTACCTCTTCCTGTGTGCGGTGGAACCCCTTGCGCAAGAAGCTTGCCGTCGCAAACTCGGACTCTGCAACAAGGCAGGGCAGCGGCTGGTGTACCTGGGTTATGCGGATGACACGACACTCTTCCTGGAGGGGAAGCGACAGATTGCCAGGGCTGAAAAACTCTTGGACTACTTCGCGCAACTGTCGGGTTTGGCGACAAACAGAGACAAGTCAGTGGTCATGCCGCTCGGTCACAACCTTGGGCGGAGACCTGGGACGCTGGGAGGTTTTAAGTGGGCAAAGGCGGACGAAGCGGAGCGGTTACTCGGGGTGTGGGTCACTCCCTCTGGAAGCAGTGCGCCAACCTGGCAGAGAGCCTTCGAAAAAATCACAGTTGAGCTGATAAAATGGAAGGCGCTCTTCCTCACGATCGCGGCCAGAGTGGTGATCATAAATTGCTACATCACGCCGAGAATCGCTTACCAGGCGCAGGTGTATCCCCCACCTGAGAACGTCTGGAAGCAGCTCTTGAAGCTGATGCACAACTTTCTGTCAGGGAATAACGCATCGGCGGACGGGAGCTATTTCCTTTGGAGCTGGGATCTTCTTTCCACCCCCAGAGTGGACGGCGGCCTTGGGGTGCTGGATCCGGATATCCTACTCGCTTGTTTGGCTGCCAGGAGGATCGGCGGTCTACTGCTGGAGGGGAACGGGAAAAAAAAGGAAGTTATGCTCACTGCGGCCGGACTCCCAATGGGGAACGACACTTTCGTGGCGCACGAGAAATTGCTGAAGCACTGGCCGGGTGACGAGGAACGGTGGAAGCAGACGTGTGAGGTTTTTCTGATGTCGCCATTAGCCGTGATCGGGGGTGTTTTCAACAAAGAGGAGGTGGCGCATGAACGGCTTGTTTTTAACAGAATATTTTACTGAACGGCACAAACCCGATCGGAGGTCAGCAAGCGGGAAAAGGTCTTTGGGAAACGCGTTTGGGTGACCTGGTAACCACTGACTCCTCAGGCGTAGCAGCGGTTAAGGACATGGAAATCCTGGAGAGGGAGCTGAGAGGGAAAGAGTCAGCACGCTTGGCTCTCAAGGCGTTGGCAGCTGCTCCACCAGATTGGAAGAACCTCTTGGTACCTGGCTCGGCACAGGGGGCTGGGGGAGTTTCTGGAGCTGTTTCACCCAGAGGGGAGGGAAGCGCAATTACCTCGATCTTCAGGTCAGCCATATTTGTGGACGGGCAGCTCGCCCCTCTGAAGCGGTTGAGGGAGGCATGGGCCAAGCCTACCGCAATCCTGACGAAACAAGAGAAGTGGGCTGGTCGCTGGAGTGGAAAGATTGACTGGCAGCGGGTTATTCGTACACGTAACTCGCTCGCTATCCCGAGCCGGCCACGTGACGTCCTCACGCGGGTGCATAACCTGAACCTACAGGTTGGGGAGAGGGTGGATTTTTTGAGCTGCAAGCCGAAGTGCCCATACTGCGGGGAGGAGGAGACGCATGAACACTGCCTGTTCACCTGCCCCAGAATTCAACCAGTGGTCTCAGGGCTACGTCGTGCCCTCCGCATGCTCAACCCTTCACGGTCTCCGAGCTCGTTGGGAGACCTGCTGTTCATGGAATCTGGAACAGTGACTGACTTTCCAGAAGGAACGCTCACGGCTATCGCCCTCCACCAGCTGTGGGTGGAACGATGTGATGCCACGTTTCGAGGGCAGAAGTTCAGAGCGAGGAGGGTGCTCAGGAGGATCGGGGTAGCTTTTCAGCTGCATGCGAGGGTATACACGAAGGCTACAGAAGCGAAATGTCTGAGGCCGGGCACGTCGGGGAAGCACAAAAGATTCAGGGGGGTTTTCGAAGCTGAGCAAAAAATGCTGACAAGGATCCGTGAGGCTGGCGACAAGAAGTGGAAGTGGTCGGCCAGTTTCGATGCAATTTGGAACAAGCCAAGGAGGGCTTTTTAGACCCCCCTAGGTTGCCTGTCTGGGCGGTGCATGACGCCCGCCCTCACGCTCAGTTACGACTGCTCTTGTTGGATGCATTGTCCTTTTAATGCACTCAGCAATTCCAAAAAAAAAAAAAAACAAGAGGCGACAAAGTCGACCTAGGGTTGCGAAGCTATTTGTCTAGTTGTATACGTTGTATTTGATGTTCAAAAACTAAACAATCTTCATTAAGATTTAACTACAAACTTTTCTGTGGGTTAAATTCGTCTACCAGAATCGATCCTGCAACCTTCCGATACTGATGCCAAACTCAACCATTGAGTTAAACCCGTCGATATTCATTCGTATTTTTAACAAATCACTTTTACGCGACGAATGAGGTGGTTAGGTTTTTCACGTTCCTTCTTTTCCTTTCCTCTGCTTCTTCTCCAACCACTCCTGTCTGTCACGCTATTCCAGTTTCTAGGTAAGAGAGTAGCAGCAGCTGGAAGAGTAGGAGTAGCAAGTGTTGCTAGTTTGTTAAGACTATCGTTAGCCTACTTAAGTTGACTAGGAGAAAGTTAACTCGAGATCATGCCTTCGTCACGTGAAGACTACCTTTCCGTTTTTTTTGTATCATGCCTTCGTTTTTGCTACCTTGTTACTCCTGTTTTGTTGCATATTCAAGGTTCCGTATGTCTTTCTCCTTTCCTTCTCTCTCCATCCGCTATTGTTATCTCTCTTCTCATTTTCTCTCCGTCCGTGTTTCTCTTTTGTTTTCCCTCTTGTAACTTCTTGCTGGAATCGTTCTGCTTGTGCTTGGCGCGTTGGTGACTTTTTGCTCGTGCCAGGCGCGCTAAGGGAGAGGCCGCCACTCTCACCTACAGCTTCTTAGGTAAGCTTTACTTCCTCTATTCTTAGATGCCGATGATGACACTCAGCGTCCTGCGCATTCTCCGTTTACATATTCCGTTTTTTTATTTAGATATTCCAGTTCGTATTTCTTCCTAATCTCTTCTCTTCTTCTTTCAGTCCGTCATCTCACATCCTATTTTCTCTAATTTTCGGTTTCACATCCTCTTGCATGGTCTTCATGTCCTCCTTCGTTCGTTCATTCCGTACGACCTAGCTCTTATGTGTTTTCCCTCTGTTCCCGTTCCTTACTTTCGTTTTATGCCTCTGTACCTCCTTTCTATTTGTCGGCTCTAACCTTTCAATGCTCACGGCGTTTTTCTTAGCCCTTGTATTGTTTCATTCGTTTCTTGGTTATTCCTGCATCTCGTCATTTCATCACACCTCATTTCCTTTTCTGTTTTTTTTTTGTACCGACTATTTCTTTCGTTCCTCCTTTCTACATTCTAAACCCGTTTCTCAGGAGTCTTGCTGCTCAGGAAGGGGATTTGAATCTGGAAAATGTGTATCGGTCACTTTCAGGATTTATCTTGTCATGTTGTCCATTTAATGTTGATTTGCATGTTATTTATTATCGCGTGTTTTGGCTGGGTTTGCTGCTGTTTGTGCTTTTGATTGTGTGAATGTGTTTGATTGTGAGAGTGCATTCATCTCATTGATCATTGCAATATTAATGCATGTCTGTCAATTTAAAAAAAGGGGTTCATTTCTATCATTTCTCATTGGTTCATTGGCGCACTCAGTGACTCGTGTGTTTGCCACTTCGAACTGGATTTGATAGTGTGAACCTCTTTTTTAGAGTTAACAGATTGCATTTTTTCATGTGTTGGTTTATTATTCAAAGACTTTGCTATTGACTTCCCCCCCATGCTAGGCAGGGGATGCGGTAGCCTAGTTTTTGGGTCGTTAACTATCACGCATTTGTATGACATCTCGTATGTTGCATTTCAGCATTTCGCTTCATGGAAAAGCATTTTCATCCATGTATCAGTATTATGCATCTATATATCTTGCCGCATTACATTCATTTAAGCATGCGTGGTATGTACTTCATTACTCATATTCGTAATATTTTTTACATGCAATTATCACAACAACGGCAAGCAGTAAAACATAAAACGCAAACAGTATAGCATATAGGCAAAAAACTACTATAATAAAAAAGAAATTAATATATGCACAATGGGAAGGATGGTACTGTAGCTTACGAATTTTATTTTCGTGTTAAATAAAAAACATGGAAAGAAAATTTGTCAAAATCGATTGTAAAGGGTTGCTTCGCAACCCAAAAAAACAAAGGATGCCATCGCTGCGTCGATTGATTCGCTGTGCCAGATTTTCTTGAATGTTTGGTTCGGGACGGTTCACGGACGACTTTCCGCCGCTTCGCGATGCACTCCGACCAAGAATCGATCGCCGCATCCACGGCATTCAGAATCGGGGTCAAGACGCGCGTCAGCATGGCGATAAGTTTAATTTGGTAGCACGCCGATGGTTGACACGGGCGGCAAGTGGACACGATTGTTCCTCTTCGAAACGAGCGCACACTGTTAAGTCGTTCCAAAGTTGTGCCGACCCCCTTGTTAGATTCGGAATCCACACTCCCCAAATCTTGCTGCTTCTGCACCGCACGCGCGCGAGTTCCCTCCAGGTTTTAAGGGGCGAGAGAGGGGGGAAAGGTGGTTGAGTTGAAGGGAAATGGAGGGGATGAACCATTTGAAGTGGGTGGACGGAGACGAGCGGCAGAGTGAAGCGAGTCTTGAAAGGGAGGGAGAGAATCTGAGGAAGTGGAGGGAGAGAGAGAGAAAGAGTGGAGGGAGAGAGGGGAGGGAGTATGAGGTGACGGGCCGGGTGGATAGTGAAGCACTCTTCTTTTGGGCTTGTAAGGGCCAGCATCTCGCTTATTCCAGATCCATTCGCGCAAAACTCATTCCCCGATCTCAACAACGCGCGTTCTGCTACTAGCAGCGAGTAAACATTCTCACAGAAGCCGCAGATCCGTCTTCATTTAGAAAGGCTTTCACTCTGCAGCGACGCGGCTCGCCTGGATCTGCTATAAACATCCCCGCTGATAACACTACTCCCCCCCGCAGCCGTCATGTCTCGGCGCTGGTCGCGCCGGATGGGTCTTCCGCGCGGGGGCCCGGACAACGCGCGCCACGTCTTCCGCGGAGTGCGCCAGCGCAAGTGGGGCTCCTGGGTGGCGGAAATCACGCATCCGCACCTCAAATCGCGCGTCTGGCTCGGATCCTTCCGCACGGCGGAAGCTGCTGCAAGGGCGTACGATCGCGCTGCAGTAGAGCTGCTGGGTCCCTCCGCTCTTCTCAACTTCCCGCAGCCTCAGGCTTCCCCAGACGGCCCTCTGATAGAGTCTAAAGCGCCAGAGCCTTTAGGGTTTGGGTGTTTGGGGGCTGTATGGGCGGAAACTCCGGGCCACACCCCAGTCCACGTTGGGGCCCTCCCCGCTGGCGCTTCCCCTACATCCGCCCCTGCCCCTGCTGACTCAGCAGCCATGGTTGAAGCGGCCATGGCCCCTGATAAAGCCCAGGCCGAAGCATATCACCTGGCATCACACAACGGCCCAGACAGCAAGAGACGGGCCGTGCAAGCTGCTGGGGGAGAGGTGATGAGGTCCCTCGCACCGCCCGTGCTGTCGCCGAAGTCAGAATTGGCTCAAAAAGCATCACAGAGCGGCCTATACAGCAAGAGGAGAGGCCAACAGGTTGCTGGAGGGGACGCGGTGAAACCCCTCACTCTGCCCGTGCTGTCCCCGCCGACCAATCCGAGCACAGCAGCAGGAGTTTCGGTGTCGCCTCTGCCTCCTGTAACCACTGGCTGGCAGCAGTCTGGCAGCTTCGCCTCCCTTCCCTTCTCGGCTGCGCAACCCTGCAGCAGCGGGCCATCTGACCCTGTAGTTGCCTCCTGCACTTACTTCCCTGCACTCGCTGCGGTTGAGAGCGGTTCCAGAACGCCTGCTACTCCCGCTACCACCACCAGTACCTGTGGTGGTTTCTCTGCAGGGCACATGAGAACACAGATGCTGCAGCAGCGGGTCCTGACGCCGCCTTCACGAGACAGCACGACGGCACAGACGCTCGATCAAACTGCACCCTTCACAGTCACTACTCTGGGGCACATGAGAACATTGCCCCTACAGTGGGTCCTGACGCCTTCACAAGACAGCACGAGGGCACAGACGCTCGATCGAGGTGCAGCCACCATAGTAGCTACTGGCGCAACAACTGCCTTTGACGCTTGCTCCATTGCTGCTGCTGGGGAGGGCTTGCCGTCCCTGCCAGCCTATGTGCCGTCCCTGCCAGCCCATGTGCCGTCCCTGCCGGCCCATGTGCAAACCATGCCGGCCCATGTGCAAACCATGCCGGCCCATGTGCCAACCATGCTGGCCCATGCGCCAACCCTGCCGGCCCATGTGCCGGCACGTGTTGCGATGCTGTCTGCTCTGGGTGCTAGCATCTTGCTCCACTCGCCTGTGCCTGCTGCTGTGACTCCTGCTGCTGCGACTCCTGCTGCTGCCCCTACCGCTGCTGCTCTGGCTATGACCACTCCTGTTTCTCCTGCTGCTATTCCTCCTGCCCATCCGTCTGCTCTTCCTCCTCCTGCTCCTCCTGCTGCTCCTGCCGAAGCCCCAAGCGCAGAGGCAGCAGCAAAGCACAGAAGCCACTCGAGCCTGCCCCTCCCTCCCCCTTCATGCCACATGGTCCCAGTCACTTGCCTCTCCGAACCATTTTCTCCTCGGAACAGCAATGCAAGCCTTCATTTTGCCACCGCTGGTGGCAGCACTGGTGCCATTTCGAGAAAGAGGTCGTGGGAGCAGGCTGCGATGCCGATACAGTCACACCAGGCGGTCCGTACAGTCCCACTAGTGGAGGCGAATGTTGAGACATCTCAACAAACCTGTACAGTCACAGGAGGGGACAGCCAGCTGACAGCACTACTGTTAGAAATGGAGGAGGACGAGAGAAGGGTAGGGAGGGTAAGGAAGGCACAGTACGCTCAGCAACCCAAGCAGGCTCAGCAGCCCGAGCAGGTTCAGCAGCCTGAGCAGGTTCAGATGCTGTTGTTGCAGCAGGAGGAGGAAGAGAAGAGGAGGGTAAGGGAGGTATTGTGGGCTGCACAGAAAGGACAGGATCAGGTCATGCTGCCTGGATTCCACAGCCCTGAGCAGATGCAGGACAAGCTGCAACCAGCGTTGGTCCCAGTGGTGCCTTTGCCGCAGATGAACCCAGCTCAGCATGTCCACATGCCAGCAGAGCTCAGAGCTCAGCATGTCCACATGTCAGCACAGCACCCAGCTCAGCATGTCCTCGTGTCAACACAGCATGTCCACGTGCCAGCTCAGCAGCCACCCATGCATGCCTTGCTGGACTCTCTGTTGCAGCAGGTGGAGGCAATGCAGGAGTATGAGATGATGCTGCTGGCTCAGGCAATAGAAGTGCAGAGAAAGGAGGAAGAGATGTCTTCTGCTCTTCAGCCTCTGGTTTCACCCACGCTGCCCATATTTCAGCCGGTTACACAGCCCTCCTATGCATCACAGCTCCCATCTCCTCTTCACCAGTCCAAGGAACCAGTAGTGTCATCCAATAGTGTTGTTTCTCTGGAGCGTCACGCTCCTGCCGAGTCGCATTTTTCGTCATTAACAAAGATAGATTCACAAAGCGTGAATGCTACAGAGCCAGAGCTGGATGTTTTGGCCCTCATAATGAATACATGGAGCTGACAACAGTGGGGTGGTTTCTGTTTTGCTCTCTTGATTTGCGACATTTTTTTGTTGTGAAACTTCGAATAAGTATGAATACTGTGCAGAATGTTTGGGTATGCCACTGCACATCTCTACACATTTTGCAACGTGTGCCAAGTCCATGCTAAAAAGGGTACGTGTCGCTCAGGAAAGGCTCACCATCTTCCACTACACACTTCAAGGCCCGTACGGGGCCCTCATAGCCAATATTGTTTTTTGTGCCGCCCGGTGGGTTCGTGCTGGAAGCGCAGTCAACAGATTTTGATAACAATCCGTGCGATCATTTGGTGTATGTGTGCGATTTGCGTTATAATTTGGTGAAGGGCGTTGGTGGGAAGGATACAGATATTAGAGTGGATATGGAGGAGATGGTAGGGTTGGTGGATGTGATTTCTACAATGCTGATCGCATAAGGCTAATAGTGCATTCTAATGATAAAGGTGTTGCCATGCAACTTTTATGGTTCTGCCAATAGTGCAATTTTTACTTACAAAGGTGAGGCCATGCAGTGCGATATTGGTCTTTGTTGAACCGTTCCATTGTGTGGCTGTTGATTCTCGTTACCAATTAGCTTCTGCCATCATATCGTAATCCCCCGGATATAAAGCCCGCCGAATTAAACCCCCCATGGGTGGTTTATGTGGGGAGGGTTTTTTATTTCGGTATCTGCAATACAATACCCGCTTTTTTGCCTTACTAACAGAGCACCCCTCCCGCCCACACTATACCCCCCCACCAGGGCTGATTTTATCAAGGTAATTACCCTGATTTCAGGGTGATTTCAGGCTTCTCACTTGCTGGTCCCTGTGAAATCAGGGTTTTCACATTTTGATCCCTGATCCATTCAGAGTATTGGTTTAGCGGACCCTGAAATTCTCTGTAGTGTTTTCCTGGACCCTGTCAATACAGAGTATTGGTTTAGCGGACCCTTCTCACTCTCAGTGTAGTGTTTTCCTGGACCCTGTCAATACAGAGTATGCGACCCGTGGACCCTGAAAGCGATGTTATCGCGACGAAGCTTCGTAGTAGCTTCGTCTCGGTACCCCCGCATGTGGGTAATTATGATTTCACACGTAGCCATGTGGGGGATTCGTTTCACGCGCACAAGTGACATAATACTGACAGAGAATACGACTGTCCTTTGTACAGCATCGATGTACAGCACAGCTGTCAAACTTGACAGCGCAACTAGAAGCATCATATCTACAGCCACGCGCACCGCGTAAAGCACAATACGTGTCCCTCATTGGCGGGAGACACATAGTGGCAGTCGTCTCTGACAGTGAGGCAGTCGTTCAATGAATTCGGCCTGCATGAAGGGCCGAATACAATGACGGCTCGATGTGATGACCACCGCGACATCAATGTCGTGGCGACGCAGTGTATTCTTGCTGACCCCACCTTCTTCGGCCATCTCTTGCTTCCCCCTTCCCACAGCCAGGGTCTTGTTGGTACTGCTGTTATGTTCACATTGTTCAATTCATTTCTCCGTTTCTCTCTCTCCCCCTCTCTAGCTTCTCCCCGCCATGGAAGGCCAGCAGGCTGACGAAGACTCGCCTTAGGTAGGCTCAGATTAGCCACCGTTACCGTCGAAAGCCACCGACACAACTGTGCCAAAGAAACCTTCTGATGCCCGTCGCTCGGGGCTTGATTTTCTTAGAGGTTCCGCTGCTCCAGTAACACCCAATCCACCTAGGTCTACCGTAGATGATTCTGCAGTTAATGACACGCCCACACCCGAATAGTCTCCCCAGGAGGCCGCCTTCACTCTACCACCGGCTATTGCTTCTTGTAACAAAGATCCACCACCGGCCGCGCCAAGTTCCACACCAAGCAACGTGCGGGTGTCTCTTGGTCCTCCGTCAGCTACCTCCACCCCGAAGAGAGCACGTTCAGGGAAGTGGGCGCAGCATACCCTGCTCATCGGAGGCCGCCGTCCTACAGCTTCGAACACTCCGACTGATCCAACACCTGATGAAGTGGCTACGGCAGAGGAAGATGCCATCGCGATCCGCGCGGACACCGGCTCACCCGCCCTCACCAAGGCGCAGCTGCGGGAGCAGATGTACCTTGAGGCCAGCATCATGTACGAGACGAGGTGGTCGGGACAGTTCTCTTGGCTTGTGTTTGGGAAAACCAAGGACGGGTTTCCCTATGTGAAGTGCAGCACCTGCATGTCCTACGGGAAGGAGAACATGAGGTACGCGAGGCAGTATGATGACGGTGGCCGTGACCTGCAGATGCAGGCGTTTTGAGCCCACGAGCACACGCGCGCGCACACAGCGCCTGTTGATCGATAGCTGAAGATTGCGAGGGGCATCCGCGAGGGGCAGCAAGTGATTTCGCACTTCATCAAGTCGGACGTCGAGGGCAGGCGCGCCGATAAGCATGTTCCCGAAGCTGATGCGGCATCTTGCGGAGCAGGACACGCCCGACATCCCGAGACAGTCTTACGGTGTCTATCTCAGACGGTAGGACCTTTTGGTTTCAAAATTGCTATGCTGATTGCGTTAGATGAAATACTTTTCAATTGGTTACTAAACAGTTGAGTTACATCCCTGCGCAGGTACGGCTTCCAGCAGATGGTTCACTGCCTTAGTACCTAATTGACGAACGTGCAGATGGACCACATCAACTCCTCCCCGTTCCTGGGCCTGAGCTGCGACGAGAGCACCGACCGAACGCGTGGTAAACACATGATTGTTTATCTTACCTTCATCAAGGACCGCCGAGTCGTCACCGGGTTCTTTACCCTTTTGACTGTGGAAAAGTGTGATGCCGCGTCCCTGTTCGTGTGAAAACAAAGAACGAGGATGAATGACTATGAAGTGAAGTGAATACAAATAGGAATCCCTAATGTGTTGTACCCCCTATGGGATACCCCACTATAGCCTACACAAACAAGTAAGCTATATGTTCTGACACACCCCCATAGGCAAAGTGGGGGAGAACAAGGGGTCACAAGACCAGTCAAGCAAAGCAAAGCAAAGCTCAGGGTGGGTCACAAAGTCACCACGCATTCCGAGCACAAGTTCAAAGGCCACAAGGCCAGTTCACATGCAAGATCATATATAGAGATATACAAGAGCAAGAGTATATATATGCGAAGGTACAAGCAAGGTCAAGAGGAGAGCAAGTGAGGCAAGACAGGCACAAGACCCAACTGCGTGCAGCAACGCTGATGATCACAAGGCGCAAGTGCCTTGGTGAAGACATCAGCAGTGTTGGCCTCAGAGGCCACGTACGCAAGTCGCAGCTGTCCACGCTGCTGTAGCTCACGAGCAAGAAAGTAGCGAAGAGCAATGTGCTTCGTTCTGTGCTCCAGTCGCTGCTCTCGACACAAGGCCAGCATGGCCTTGTTGTCTACGTACAGGACTGGAGGAGAACGAGGCTGCTCTCCAAGGTCGGTCAGCAGGTAGGTGAGCCAGCGTAACTCCTGTGCAGCCATAGCCCCAGCGTAGATCTCAGCCTCACAACTGGAGCCGAGAACAGAAGACGAGCGGGTAGCCCGCCACGAGACAGAGCCGGAACCATGGCTGAAGGTGTAACCCTGTGACGACCGCTGCGTAGCCTGGTCGTCAGCCCAAGAAGCGTCTGCGTGCCCAGTGAGGACCACTGGACTGCGCCCTCCAAGCACTAGCCCCATGCCCGACGTACTGCACAAGTAGCGCAACACCCTCTTCGCTGCAGCCATGTGCTCTGGTCGGTGTCTCCCAGGAGCAACAAAGCGTGCGAGAATGCTAAGAGGGTATGCGAGGTCAGGTCGTGTGCAGGTCATCAGGTACATGAGGCAGCCAGCAAGCTCTGCAAACGGGCCACTCGACTCTACGGACTCATCCGAAGGCAGAGCTGAGAGCGAGTGGCGAGTAGGCAGAGGAGTGGCCTGAGGCGAGGAGTACGTGAAGCCGAAGCGCTGAAGGACCTGCTGCACCATGTGTGACTGAGTCAGGGTAATGGTGCGGCGTGCTCTGTCCCGGGTGATCTGCAAGCCAAGGTAGCTGCGCAGTTCACCCAGGTCAGTGCACGTGTGTCTCTTCTGCAGCTCGGACTTCACGTAGGCGAGTCCAGCAGTGTCAGCTGTGGCAAAGACCAAGTCGTCGACGTACACGAGGATGTAGAACGGCGGCAGAGAGGTGTCGGTGCGCAGAAACAGCGACGGGTCGGCAGTGGAAGGAGCAAACCCAAGTGCCGCGAGCGTAGTCCTCAGTGTGTCGTGCCACTCACGTGGCGCCTGGCGGAGACCGTAGACTGGACGCCGGAGACTCCACTGGGTACCAGGAGGGAAAGACCCAGTGAAGCCAGGTGGGCGACGCAGCCAGATCTCCTCGTGCAGGCTGCCCTGCAAGAAAGCTGTGCTGAAGTCGAGAGAGTGGAGCTCGTAGTCACGGTGAGCAGCAACGTGCAGCAGAACCCGAAGAGTGGTCATCTTCGGGGTGGGGGAGAAGGTCTGAAAGTAGTCAACCCCCTGCCGCTGACTGAAGCCACGAGCCACGTAACGCGCCTTGAAGACAGGCGGAGAACCCGGCGGCCGCTTCACCCTGAAAATCCACATGCCACTGACGATGTTCGCCCCAGGAGGGGGAACAGCGTCAACGTAGGTGCCTGTGGACTTCCAGGAAGCCATCTCTGCATCCATAGCTGCCTGCCACTGAGAGGAGTAGGGACCCTCTATCGCCTCCGCGTAAGAGCGCGGAGTCGGGATGTCTGGTGCATCCGGGTCTCCCTCAGGGGCTAGCAGTACAGACGCGAGACGAGGTGAAGCGGCGGCCAGACACTGGAACTCCTCCTGCATGTCCTCAAGGACGTCCGTGCCAAGGGCACACTCACCCCCGACGGACGGAGGACAGGCGGACTCAGACTCAGTGACAAGACGAGCAGCGTAGTCTAGACGACAGCGCGCAGCAAAGTCGACAAGCTCAGTGACAAGGGCAGACGCAGCAGACGACTCGAAGGAAGGGTCAGTGACAGCAGTAGCAAGGAGACGCGTGATAGTAGGACTGGCAGCACGAAGAGAGTCCGACTCCGGGTCGGCAAGAGCAGGAAGAGAGGAAGCAGGAGGAGAAGGCAAAGGGGCACGCAGAGGAGCAGTGGACGGACGCAGTGACATCCGGTGCGTGCCAGGGACAGGAGGAGGACGCTGACGCGACCCGCGACCACTAGCGCGCTCAGTACGAACAGGCGACACAGGACGAGACGCAGGCTCACGATGCTCAGTAAGACCTCCAGTAGGACCAGCGTAGGGAGAAGGAGCAGGCAAAGGGGAGGCAGGCTGTAGCTGTGGCTGTGACCGGACAGGCTGCGGACCCTCTAAGGGAGGAGGAGGAGGAGGTGTAAGACCAAGAACCTGCTGCAGGAGCGGAACGAAGTACGGTCGGGGCCGCGCGGCGACGCTAGAAACAGCAGGAACAGCACC